GTAGCCTAAATATGGGCCCCTCTACACCTGGCGTTGAATGTAGCCTTAAGATGGGTCACTACTCACCATCTGGCGTTGTAAGTAGCCTAAAGATAGGCCCCTCTACACCTTCTGGCGTTGTAAGTAGCCTAAAGATGGGTCACTACTCACCATGTGGCGTTGTATGTAGCCTAAAGATGGACCCCTCTACACCTTCTGGCGTTGTATGTAGCCTAAAGATGGGTCACTACTCACCATGTGGCGTTGTATGTAGCCTAAAGATGGGCCCCTCTACACCTTCTGGCGTTCAATGTAGCCTAAAGATGGGTCACTACTCACCATGTGGCGTTGAATGTAGCCTTAAGATGGGTCACTACTCACCATCTGGCGTTGTATGTAGCCTAAAGATGGGCCCCTCTACACCAACTGGCGTTGAATGTAGCCTAAATATGGGCCCCTCTACACCTGGCGTTGAATGTAGCCTTAAGATGGGTCACTACTCACCATCTTGCGTTGTAAGTAGCCTAAAGATAGGCCCCTCTACACCTTCTGGCGTTGTAAGTAGCCTAAAGATGGGTCACTACTCACCATGTGGCGTTGTATGTAGCCTAAAGATGGACCCCTCTACACCTTCTGGCGTTGTATGTAGCCTAAAGATGGGTCACTACTCACCATGTGGCGTTGTAAGTAGCCTAAAGATGGACCCCTCTACACCTTCTGGCGTTGAATGTAGCCTAAAGATGGGTCACTACTCACCATGTGGCGTTGAATGTAGCCTTAAGATGGGTCACTACTCACCATCTGGCGTTGAATGTAGCCTAAAGATGGGCCCCTCTACACCAACTGGCGTTGAATGTAGCCTAAAGATGGGTCACGACTTGCCATGTGGCGTTGTATGTAGCCTAAAGATGGGTCACTGCTCACCATGTGGCGTTGTATGTAGCCTAAAGATGGACCCCTCTACACCTTCTGGCGTTGTATGTAGCCTAAAGATGGGTCACTACTCACCATGTGGCGTGGTATGTAGCCTAAAGATGGACCCCTCTACACCTTCTGGCGTTGTATGTAGCCTAAAGATGGGCCCCTCTACACCTTCTGGCGTTGAATGTAGCCTTAAGATGGGTCACTACTCACCATGTGGCGTTGAATGTAGCCTTAAGATGGGTCACTACTCACCATCTGGCGTTGTATGTAGCCTAAAGATGGGCCCCTCTACGCCTTCTGGCGTTGAAGGTAGCCTTAAGATGGGTCACTACTCACCATCTGGCGTTGTAAGTAGCCTAAAGATGGGCCCCTCTACACCTTCTGGCGTTGTATGTAGCCTAAATATGGGCCCTCTACACCTGGCGTTGAATGTAGCCTTAAGATGGGTCACTACTCACCATCTTGCGTTGTAAGTAGCCTAAAGATAGGCCCCTCTACACCTTCTGGCGTTGTAAGTAGCCTAAAGATGGGTCACTACTCACCATGTGGCGTTGTATGTAGCCTAAAGATGGACCCCTCTACACCTTCTGGCGTTGTATGTAGCCTAAAGATGGGTCACTACTCACCATGTGGCGTTGTAAGTAGCCTAAAGATGGACCCCTCTACACCTTCTGGCGTTGAATGTAGCCTAAAGATGGGTCACTACTCACCATGTGGCGTTGAATGTAGCCTTAAGATGGGTCACTACTCACCATCTGGCGTTGTATGTAGCCTAAAGATGGGCCCCTCTACACCAACTGGCGTTGAATGTAGCCTAAAGATGGGTCACGACTTGCCATGTGGCGTTGTATGTAGCCTAAAGATGGGTCACTGCTCACCATGTGGCGTTGTATGTAGCCTAAAGATGGGCCCTCTACACCATCTGGCGTTGTATGTAGCCTTAAGATGGGTCACTGCTCACCATGTGGCGTTGTATGTAGCCTAAAGATGGGCCCCTCTACACCATCTGGCGTTGTATGTAGCCTTAAGATGGGTCACTACTCACCATGTGGCGTTGTAAGTAGCCTTAAGATGGACCCCTCTACACCTTCTGGCGTTGAATGTAGCCTAAAGATGGGTCACTACTCACCATCTGGAGTTGTATGTAGCCTAAAGATGGCCCCTCTACACCATCTGGCGTTGTATGTAGCCTAAAGATGGGCCCTCTACACCATCTGGCGTTGTATGTAGCCTAAAGATGGGTCACTACTCACCATGTGGCGTTGTATGTAGCCTAAAGATGGATCACTACTCACCATCTGGCGTTGTATGTAGCCTAAAGATGGGTCACTACTCACCATGTGGCGTTGTATGTAGCCTAAAGATGGGCCCCTCTACACCATGTGGCGTTGAATGTAGCCTAAAGATGGGTCACGACTCGCCATCTGACGGCTGGATAAGTAACGCGAGGCACGTGAAGATTTAAACGTGCGGTTTTGACCCCATGTCTTACTTTTGAACTGAGACTCACGGGTAGGCTCAGCTATCAAGAGGTATCAAGTTGTGGCGTATACTGCGACTAACTGAAGCGAACCTGATGACTTCTCTAAACTAGCCGATATCGACAACCATTACGAAATACAAAAAAAGCAAAAAAATAACTTTCATAATTTTATGTTTGTGAAAAGAAAGGTTATAATCCCCACATTGCATGTGTTTTGAAAATTCTTAACATTTCGTATACCCCCTGGGCAGAAACAGAAAACTACTTTGGGGAGTGGATAGTTTTATATTCATATTAGATTTCATCACATGGACACAGACTACAACGGAGGCAATGAACAGAAATGCTATCAAATGAGGACAAAAGAATTCGTCTGATTCGGCTTGAATAAAAGTTAACTGTATATGTCCCTGTGACGCCAGGGGATTAACGAAGACTAACAGAGGTATAAGTGTCAGGTGCTGAGATCGTTTACCGCTTTTGACCGGGTTGTTATTCAGCCTTGGGACCAACAATGTTTACAGGTCTTTACAGTGTTGTCACTCCCTTCAGCGTTAAGGACATACACCCTTTGCACTCAAAAGAACCCACTCGTCCGACGGTAGATGAACAGATGGTGGAAACATGAACAAATACAATAAAAGAGTTTCACTTAATGGAAGAAGTTGAAAAGGTACAGTTTTAAGCCTTGTAAACGTTTTGTAAATGTAAAACAAATTACATCAAGCAATCTCTCTCTCTCGTGACTAGAAAGCCCAAAGAACTTATCAATTTGTTGTTGCCCAATAGACATACACCATCAACCATCTCTACCCGACCATGCTTGTCGTAAAAGGCGACTAACGGGATCGGGTGGTCAGGCTCGCTGACTTGGTTGATGCATCTCATCGATCCCAATTGCGTGGACCGATGCTCATGATATCAATCACTGGATTGTCTGGTCCAGACTCGATTATTTACAGACCGCCGTCATATAGCTGGAATATTGCTGAGTGCGGCGTTAAACAACAAACCAACCAACCAACCGGGCCTTTACGGGTCTGGAATACTAATAGTTATTCTGACCCGGAATCCCCACTGGGGTCGCTATAAGGAAAACTCGATGTATTCCCAGATTACCAAGAATAGAAATCAGGGCGAATGTTGTTTAACGAATACAGATAAGAACCAGTTCGACATGCGTTGCCATCATTGGCAAGATGAAGAGCAGTAAATGTTCTTGCAGCTGATGAGACCGTTGAAGACTGGACTGGACACAGTTGAAAGTTTCACCATCTTTGCAAACAGGACAATGGACAGGTGTTGTGGCCATGGAAGGAATGAGAGTATGGATCACACGGGGGAATGTTAGCTTTCTCGGTCTCTATTGCAGGTTCAAGCTGTTGTTGTGTCTGTGGTTCAGGATGACGCTGTCGCACTCGGCAATACAGCTCACCCCATAGATGTTCAAGCGACTTAGAGGACAACGGGCGCATCTGTACGTTATAAACATGTTTGAGTGATTTGTTACCCGTGATGAATGTGATACATCATGGTGGTGAAAGAGGCGTTATCATGGTTCATAATACGAACAACGTGAGGCTGTACAATCGTAAAGACTAACCAGGTGAGTGCAATCCGTATGTGAGATTCCCGCCCACATTATCATGCTGCCACCGACAAATGTGCCGACCTCCCCAAAGTGTAAGTGGTGAAACGTTCATGGGGAAGTAGGTACACTCTGGCAATCCCATCAGCACGATGCAGCATTCGTGGCTGAACCAAACAGTTTTCCCTCGCTTGTATGGCAATAGTGTGTGTGTGTGTGTGTGTGTGTGTGTGTGTGTGTGTGTGTGTGTGGATGTTTGTAACATGGCCGCTCATGTGACGTCACAAGCTCCTGGTAACGAGATACTGGAGATGGTGCTCTGGGACACACCAGTTACCATGGCTACAGCCGCCTATTGCCATTCTTCCTGCAATCGTTGTGCTTCAGTTAGTGGTGTAATTACGAACCTTTATAGGCACGTGCATCAACTGGTGGTTACTTTTCTGTATATTTACGTTTGGGTTATGTATTTGATTGTTTGGCGTTTTGATGATTTCAACAAAGGCATTAGTATAGCATAGGTTGCTGGGAACATATTCTATCCCGAATCCCATGGTTGTTTTGCTGGCATGTTTAAGGCCTGAAGCAAGCACTGTGTTTTTTCTAAAAGGTATATTTCAAAGTGCGTCATACGACTGTTTGTTTGATCAAGGTTACAACATTCAAGGCCTCAGTAAAGCCTTCAAAAAGTTTTATTGTAGACGTGAGGACATTTCCAAATATGATGCGTCAGTGGCAAAAATGATGTCCGATACAATTCCCTATTTTGACTTGTACACGTTTTTTTCAGTCGAACAGTTGACTTGCCTTTGCATGTGTTTGTGATGGGTGTTTGTGATGGGTGTCACCGGTTGGGCAGTATATGCTCAACCGCGAACACCTGGTATCATCACTATTTGAAAGTGACTCATCAACGCGTGCTCATGATAGTCGGAATCGTACTATGGACTCTGTTTAATGCAGAGATTTCAATTGGATATGGAAAGTGTTTTATTGCTTTTTTTACAGATAAACTTAACAGAAACACATTGGTCATGTTTTATTATCTTTGTGTGAAATATATCGATTTCATTCAATTCAACAGACTTAGCAAAGCAGGTACAATACACTTGAAACTTGGACTTGACCCAAACATTACAAATGTTATCAAAAGATTACTAGGCTTAAAATAGTTCCGAAAACACTGCAACCTTAGGTCCAAAACACAACTGTGATCACCATCAAATAACAATCTTGTTTATTTCAGTTTTAGCCACCATCAAACAAAGGTGGGTACTTTCTTTTGCAAGGCAGTGTAGTATATATTTAGTCTCGTTACCATGCTAGTTAATGCAGCTCATGTATAGCTCTGGTTCCTCAAATAGAATCGAAATGATCTGACAAACATGATGCCCACGCTTGTGGTAGCACTGCAGAATACAGGAGAATATACTTGTACATAAACACCACCAATGGTTGACATAAAACAGGATAAATTTGACAACAAAGAAAGCCAGACATTTTTAATATGTTGTTTTACAGATGTTATTGTGTGAAAAATCGTGATGGGAAAATATTAGAAATGTTGCTCTTCAAATCTTATCTGAATAACAATATGTAACCATATAATTCATGAACAGGGTCTTAGTGAGTGAGTGAGTGAGTGAGTGGTTTTATGCCACTTTTAGCAATATTCAAGCAATATCACGGCGGGGAAAACCAGAAATGGGATTCACACATTGTACCCATGTGGAGAATTGAACCTGGGTCTTCAGCATGACGAACAAACGCTTTAACCACCAGGCTACGAATTGGGCCTGAACAGATTCAGCCTCCATCACCTTATGGATGGAGCAACAAAAGACGTTAAAAAATGGTACTTGTTGTTACCCTGCCTGGCGCTCGGCATTAACGGATATAACAAGGACTGGTCGGCTCCACATCAGTATACTATGAATGGGGTATCCATGTAAAGCTGTGGCAGTTAATATACTGATGGGGAAAAATAAGGTAACACATAGCAACATAACAGAAGAATATCTAGGGCATGAATAATTGATATATGCCATTCAAAAGAAGTTAGAGAACACCATTGATTTTTTCCTATGTCTATCGTTATCTGTCAGCACACATCCTTCCAATGGTGGGTGTTCCTTAACTTGTTTTGAGTAGTATACATGCAGGAACACAACAGTGTTACATGTGAATGCCGGTAACAGTGAAGTCATTATGAAATTATATCATGCTATATTTTGGTGTAATGCATGATTTTTTTCTGTTCTGGCTGTACAAAAGAAACACACATCACATGTCAAATACTGAAATACACAACAATACCACATCACCTTCACTAATATACATATCTATCTTTACGATGCATTCAAAAACATTCTCTGATACATTCTTGAGATTCTGAAATTGCCATGAAGAATGAGACAGGCAGTGACAGAGACGCACTGCCATGGTGAAACATGCGGCATGGGTGAGAAATGTGCGAGTCATGCATGAGACATGTGGTGAGACACATGGTGAGACAGTGAGACATGCGGTGAGACACGAGTTGAGACATGCGTTGAGACACAGTGAGACAAGCAGTGAGACACGTGATGAGACACAGTGAGACACGTGGTGAGACATGCGATGAGACACGCGTTGAGACACAGTGAGACAAGCAGTGAGACACGTGGTGAGACATGCGGTGAGACACACTGCAAGGGAGTTGCTATGACAAGATCAAATGAACCTAGTCCTCATTCCTCAAAGGGATCTTAGCAAAAAGAATATTGTATGTCAATTCATTTAACAAAAATCGAGGCGCTTAAAGAAATTCACCTGCAATGCTCCTTGCTGCACATCTCAAACTTAGGGAGATGCTGCACATCTCAAACTTAAGGAGATGCTGCATATCTTAAATTTACAGAGACTTACAGTGCTGCTAGTCTCAAACTGACCAATCTCATTAAAATCAGATCTAAGTTCTCACTGTCGCTTAACAAAGATCTGAGGACATCCCATAACGAGTCATGTCAGAACGACCTTTCACAAACTTTGACCGACCACTGAAACGATTAACAGCCAATTAGAAAGCAACTTTCTGGAGCTTTACGGCACTCCTTTCTACCAATACACTTTCAATTTAAACCCATTCACTGCTTTTTATTCAAATACATAGGAGGGCCTGCATGTTAGCTTGACAACCATGGCCAGTTACTTCAGTACAAAGTACAGCTATGACAACAACAATGGCAGCGGCAATGGTAACAGCAGTGATAGCGGAAGTGGTAAAGATGACGTCAAAGACAATGGTAGCTGCAATGGCAATGGTAACAGCAGTGATAGCGAAAGTGGCAACGATGATGTCAAAGACAATGGTAGCTGCAATGGCAATGGTAACAGCAGTGATAGCGGAAGTGGCAACGATGACGTCAAAGACAATGGCAGCGGCAATGGTAACAGCAGTGATAGCAGAAGTGGCAACGATGACGTCAAAGACAATGGTAGATGCAATGGCAATGGTAATGGCAACCCAGCTGTATGGAATAAGGCCCTGGCAATAAGGCAACCCGACCGAGTGAGTGGTATGGACAAAGCAAATCACCTCTAATCCCTTCTCAAGTTTCAACTGTATCCTCATCTGTGGTGATATGTGTGCTGTCTGCATGGTAAATGTATGATGCTTGGTGATTGCATCTCCAAAGAAGTCTAAAATGTGTTGATGGTGGTCTGAGGTCTGCCTCAATGTGTTGATTGTGGTCCGAGGTCTGTCTCAGTGTGTTGATGGTGGTCCGAGGTCTGTCTCAGTGTGTTGATGGTTGTCCGAGGTCTGTCTCAGTGTGTTGATGGTGGTCCGAGGTCTGTCTCAGTGTGTTGATGGTGGTCCGAGGTCTGTCTCAGTGTATTGATGGTGGTCCGACGTATGTCTCAATGTGTTGAAGGTGATCCGAGGTCTGTCTCAATGTGTTGAAGGTGATCCGAGGTCTGTCTCGAATGGGTTGATGGTGGTCTGACGTGTGTCTCAATGTGTTGATGGTGGTCCGAGGTCTGTCTCAGTGTGTTGATGGTGGTCCAATGTTAGCATTTCCCCAGGACAAGGGCCAGCAAAGACATGCGGACATACATGCCGTTCTCAGCCTGGCGGAAATAAGCGGCACGGGGATCCGAGTCAAAGCTGGAGCTACAACACAGAACAGTAATTACGGATGAGTAAGTGAGAGGATGGCTGGGTGATTGAGTGATTGAGTGAGTGAGTGAGTGAGAGGGTGGCTGGGTGAGTGAGTGATTGAGTGAGTGTGTGAGTGATATGGTGGCTGGGTGATTGAGTGAGTGAGTGAGTGAGTGAGAGGGTGGGAGGGTGGGTGAGTGAGTGAGTGAGTGAGTGAGAAGGTGGGTGGGAGGGAGAGTGAGTGAGTGAGTGAGAAGGTGAGTGAGTGAGTGAGTGAGTGAGTGAGAATGTGGGTGAGTGAGTGAGTGAGTGGGAAGGAGGGTGCGTGAGTGAGTGAGTGAGTGAGTGAGTGAGTGGGAGGGAGGGAGGGAGGGTGGGTGAGTGAGTCAGTGATGTGGGAGGAAAGCCCAACATGACTCACATGCTGGCGGGTCATCACTTTGGGGAAAGCCACAAGCAGGTGCTGACAAACCAAGAAACCTAATCATGGTGAGAAACTCACAACTATAGGATTCTGGCAGAGGTAGAGGGACATCTCTGCCTTCATGTGAAATCACCAAAATGTATGACGAGTGTATGTTGTCTCATGTTCAGCAAGGTTCAAGTTATATCATGGCAGCCTGTAAATAAGTGAGTCTGGCCCAGGGAAACAAGACTAATGCCCCAAACAGGAAAACATACAGTGTAAACCAAGACTAACACCCCACAAAGGAAAACATACAGTGTAAACCAAGACTAACAACCCACACAGGAAAACATACAGTGTAAACCAAGACTAACACCCCACACAGGAAAACATACAGTGTAAACCAAGACTAACACCCCACACAGGAAAACATACAGTGTAAACCAAGACTAACAACCCACACAGGAAAACATACAGTGTAAACCAAGACTAACACTCCACACAGGAAAACATACAGTGTAAACCAAGACTAACACCCCAAACAGGAAAACATACAGTGTAAACCAAGACTAACACCCCATACAGGAAAACATACAGTGTAAACCAAGACTAACACCCCACACAGGAAAACATACAGTGTAAACCAAGACTAACACCCCACACAGGAAAACATACAGTGTAAATCAAGACTAACACCCCACACAGGAAAACATACAGTGTAAACCAAGACTAACACCCCACACAGGAGAACATACAGTGTAAACCAAGACTAACACCCCACACAGGAAAACATACAGTGTAAACCAAGACTAACACCCCACACAGGAGAACATACAGTGTAAACCAAGACTAACACCCCACACAGGAGAACATACAGTGTAAACCAAGACTAACACCCCACACAGGAAAACATACAGTGTAAACCAAGACTAACACCCCACAAAGGAAAACATTTAGTGTAAACCAAGACTAACACTCCACACAGGAAAACATACAGCGTAAACCAAGACTAACACTCCACACAGGAAAACATACAGTGTAAACCAAGACTAACACTCCACACAGGAAAACATACAGTGTAAACCAAGACTAACACTCCACACAGGAAAACATTTAGTGTAAACCTAGACTAACACCCCACACAGGAAAACATACAATCACAACAGAGTCGAACCACCAGAACCCCATTTAGTCTGTTCTCATTACAACAAACAGGGTTTGTTTGCTGATTATCGCAGCACACAGCAATATTCCATCAATATGGACACTGCATGTATATAAACAAGTTTGCGCCAGACAATCCAGTGATTGATATTGTGAACAACAATCCATGCAGTTAGGTTACATTGACACACCCAATGCAGTACAGAATTATATATTTCTCTACCTTAACGACAATGTTGTTGTTGGTTTGGTTGGTTGGTTTGTTGTTTCATGCCGCACTCAGCAATATTCCAGCTATATGACGGCGGTCTGTAAATAATCGAGTCCTGACCAGACAATCCAGTGATTGATGTCATGAGCATCAATCCATGCAATTGCGATCGATGAGATGCATCAACCAAGTCAGTGAGTCTGACCACCCGATCCCGTTAGTCGCCTTTTACGACAAGCATAGTCGCCTTTTACGGCAAGCATTGGTTGCTGAAGACCTATTCTACCCCGGATTCTTCACGGGTCCAACAATGCTTAATCATATTACTTGCCCAAGGCAGTTCAACTTTCGATCAGAAATGCCTACGCCTGGAGCTACATTAAAAACACAGTAATAACCACTTTCTGTTTCATGGCATCACTTCCACAGAATATTGTGCAGGACAGCTTTCACACCAAAGATCAATGCCTGCTTCATTGATAACAACGCTAGAAGCTATACAACCCCCTGCATTCATGACAAGCCACCAGCTGACCTCCACCCTCTTTACTGTGAGTGGACTAGTCCGGTCATATTTTACAGTGTCTTGACAAACCACATGCCTACTGCATATACCCAGCTTAACAATGGCACAAGCAGAAACAGCAGAAAGATAAACAAGAACACAAGTTTAAATGAGATCAGAGTAACGAGAACAAGATTCAGAGACAGCACTGCTCGGATCAGGTGACAGATTCAGCAGACTTTTGGTTTTAGAGATGGTCTATGTATATTTAACAGATGAACTGTGGACAAATGTTCAATGAAAGAAAATGTGTCATAACATAAATCTTTGGTTAAGGTGAACTTCAAGTGGAAAATATTAAACCATAACTAAATATACAACTTAAAATAAGTTAAAGGCCCCCCAATATTTTTATACTACTATAATTGACCCGTTATGGCACAACAATGAGAAAACATATTGCCATGACAGATGAACTGCAGCACCTTTAATAAATTGGGTGGTCTTCACCTTTTTTTGAATAAGTAAATGTAGCTATATAAATTTTGGTTTATCACTCATATAACATTTATCATCCAAATAGCATCTAACATCTATATATCCTCTCTGTGGCATACACGTATCAATATACAGATCGGTGCTACTGACTCCAGGCAGGATGAGCCAACCCACTTTCCCAGGGTCATAAGTGCAGCATTATGATATCTGAGCCAGAAATACAATTATGAAACAATTTGCAATTTAATTGATTATAGTAGTCTTGTGCATTAATAACAGCAATAAGGCAATGGTGGAGTGGAGGTATTGACATGGCTACACACAGGGCATTGGGTACATGCTGCCGACAGTGTGGTGCATTTCCACTCTCAATACCAGCATCCTGGAGAGACTGTCATTATCATTTCATATACTACTCAAAAGAAGTTAAGGACCACCTGATTCTTTCATATGACTATAGTTAATCTGTCATCAATGTATTTCTGGGCATTCCCAGTGTCATCGTGTTAGTACAGCACCTGTATCCCTGTGTGACCATTACCAGGTGTTCCCAGTGTCATCGTGTTAGTACAGCACCTGTATCCCTGTGTGACCATTACTAGGTGTTCCCAGTGTCATCGTGTTAGTACAGCACCTGTTACCCTGTGTGACCATTACTAGGTGTTCCTAGTGTCATGGTGTTAGTACAGCACCTGTTACCCTGTGTGACCATTACTAGGTGTTCCTAGTGTCATCGTGTTAGTACAGCACCTGTTACCCTGTGTGACCATTACTAGGTGTTCCTAGTGTCATCGTGTTAGTACAGCACCTGTAACCCTGTGTGACCATTACTAGGTGTTCCTAGTGTCATCATGTTAGTACAGCACCTGTTACCCCGTGTGACCATTACTAGGTGTTCCTAGTGTCATGGTGTTAGTGCAGCACCTGTTACCCTGTGTGACCATTACTAGGTGTTCCTAGTGTCATGGTGTTAGTACAGCACCTGTAACCCTGTGTGACCATTACTAGGTGTTCCTAGTGTCATCGTGTTAGTACAGCGACTGTAACCCTGTGTGACCATTACTAGGTGTTCCTAGTGTCATCGTGTTAGTACAGCACCTGTAACCCTGTGTGACCATTACTAGGTGTTCCCAGTGTCATCGTGTTAGTACAGCACCTGTAACCCTGTGTGACCATTACTAGGTGTTCCTAGTCTCATCGTGTTAGTACAGCACCTGTAACCCTGTGTGACCATTACTAGGTGTTCCTAGTGTCATGGTGTTAGTACAGCACCTGTTACCCTGTGTGACCATTACTAGGTGTTCCTAGTGTCATGGTGTTAGTACAGCACCTGTAACCCTGTGTGACCATTACTAGGTGTTCCTAGTGTCATGGTGTTAGTACAGCACCTGTTACCCTGTGTGACCATTACTAGGTGTTCCTAGTCTCATCGTGTTAGTACAGCACCTGTTACCCTGTGTGACCATTACTAGGTGTTCCTAGTGTCATGGTGTTAGTACAGCACCCGTAACCCTGTGTGACCATTACTAGGTGTTCCTAGTGTCATGGTGTTAGTACAGCACCTGTTACCCTGTGTGACCATTACTAGGTGTTCCCAGTGTCATGGTGTTAGTACAGCACCTGTAACCCTGTGTGACCATTACCAGGTGTTCCCGGTGTCATGGTGTTAGTGCAGCACCTGTTACCCTGTGTGACCATTACTTGGTGTTTCTCGTGTCATCGTCTTCTGTGTCACATAAGCACTTTGATGTAAATACAGTTAAAAGTTTGAATGTTTCTTATCACCCCTTCACGTACCTGATCTCGAACACACGAGGGAGGGGATGCATTACAACCATCTTCTTCTTGGCCTTCGTCATCACTTCAGGAGTCACAATGAATTGTCCACATGCCTGAAACACAACCAAATCAAGGTAATTCAGTCTGAATCCCATACACACTCAAATAACTCACAGTGTGAATCCCAAACACACTCAAGTAATCCTCAGTCTGAATCCCAAACACACTCAAGTAATCCTCAGTCTGAATCCCCAACACACTCAAGTAATACTCAGTCTGAATCCCCAACACACTCAAGTAATTCTCAGTCTGAATCCCCAACACACTCAAGTAATCCTCAGTCTCAATCCTCAACACACTCAAGTAATCCTCAGTCTGAATCCCCAACACACTCAAGTAATCCTCAGTCTGAATCCCCAACACACTCAAGTAATTCTCAGTCTGAATCCCCAACACACTCAAGTAATTCTCAGTCTGAATCCCCAACACACTCAAGTAATTCTCAGTCTGAATCCCCAACACACTCAAGTAATCCTCAGTCTGAATCCCCAACACACTCAAGTAATTCTCAGTCTGAATCCCAAACACACTTAAGTAGTCCTCAGTCTGAATCCTAAACTCACACTCAAGTAATTCTCAGTCTGAATCCCCAACACACTCAAGTAATCCTCAATCTGAATCCTAAACACGTGCTCAAGTAATTCTCAGTGTGAATCCCCAACACACTCAAGTAATTCTCAGTGTGAATCCCCAACACACTCAAGTAATCCTCAGTCTGAATCCCCAACACACTCAAGTAATTCTCAGTCTGAATCCCCAACACACTCAAGTAATTCTCAGTGTGAATCCCAAACACACTCAAGTAGTTCTCAGTCTGAATCCCCAACACGCTCAAGTAATTCTCAATCTGAATCCCAAACACACTCAAGTAATTCTCAGTGTGAATCCCAAACACACTCAAGTAATTCTCAGTCTGAATCCCAAACACACTCAAGTAATTCTCAATCTGAATCCCAAACACACTCAAGTAATTCTCAGTGTGAATCCCAAACACACTCAAGTTATTCTCAGTCTGAATCCTAACTCACACTCAAGTAATTCTCAGTCTGAATCCTAAACTCACACTCAAGTAATTCTCAGTCTGAATCCTAAACACACTCAAGTAATTCTCAATCTGAATCCCAAACACACTCAAGTAATCCTCAATCTGAATCCCATACACACTCAAGTAATCCTCAGTCTGAATCCCCAACACACTCAAGTAATCCTAAGTCTGAATCCCCAACACACTCAAGTAATTCTCAGTCTGAATCCCCAACACTCAAGTAATCCTCAGTCTGAATCCCCAACACACTCAAGTAATCCTCAGTCTGAATCCCCAACACACTCAAGTAATTCTCAGTCTGAATCCCCAACACACTCAAGTAATTCTCAGTCTGAATCCCCAACACACTCAAGTAATTCTCAGTCTGAATCCCAAACACACTCAAGTAATCCTCAGTCTGAATCCCCAACACACTCAAGTAATTCTCAGTCTGAATCCCAAACACACTTAAGTAGTCCTCAGTCTGAATCCTAAACTCACACTCAAGTAATTCTCAGTCTGAATCCCAAACACACTCAAGTAATCCTCAATCTGAATCCTAAACACGTGCTCAAGTAATTCTCAGTGTGAATCCCCAACACACTCAAGTAATTCTCAGTGTGAATCCCCAACACACTCAAGTAATCCTCAGTCTGAATCCCCAACACACTCAAGTAATTCTCAGTCTGAATCCCCAACACACTCAAGTAATTCTCAGTGTGAATCCCAAACACACTCAAGTAGTTCTCAGTCTGAATCCCAAACACACTCAAGTAATTCTCAATCTGAATCCCAAACACACTCAAGTAATTCTCAGTGTGAATCCCAAACACACTCAAGTAATTCTCAGTCTGAATCCTAAACTCACACTCAAGTAATTCTCAGTCTGAATCCCCAACACACTCAAGTAATTCTCAGTCTGAATCCTAAACTCACACTCAAGTAATTCTCAGTCTGAATCCCCAACACACTCAAGTAATTCTCAGTCTGAATCCTAAACTCACACTCAAGTAATTCTCAGTCTGAATCCCCAACACACTCAAGTAATTCTCAGTCTGAATCCCCAACACACTCAAGTAATTCTCAGTCTGAATCCCCAACACACTCAAGTAATCCTCAGTCTGAATCCCCAACACACTCAAGTAATTCTCAGTCTGAATCCCAAACACACTTAAGTAGTCCTCAGTCTGAATCCTAAACTCACACTCAAGTAATTCTCAGTCTGAATCCCCAACACACTCAAGTAATCCTCAATCTGAATCCTAAACACGTGCTCAAGTAATTCTCAGTGTGAATCCCCAACACACTCAAGTAATTCTCAGTGTGAATCCCCAACACACTCAAGTAATCCTCAGTCTGAATCCCCAACACACTCAAGTAATTCTCAGTCTGAATCCCCAACACACTCAAGTAATTCTCAGTGTGAATCCCAAACACACTCAAGTAATTCTCAGTCTGAATCCCCAACACGCTCAAGTAATTCTCAATCTGAATCCCAAACACACTCAAGTAATTCTCAGTGTGAATCCCAAACACACTCAAGTAATTCTCAGTCTGAATCCCAAACACACTCAAGTAATTCTCAATCTGAATCCCAAACACACTCAAGTAATTCTCAGTGTGAATCCCAAACACACTCAAGTTATTCTCAGTCTGAATCCTAACTCACACTCAAGTAATTCTCAGTCTGAATCCTAAACTCACACTCAAGTAATTCTCAGTCTGAATCCCAAACACACTCAAGTAATTCTCAATCTGAATCCCCAACACACTCAAGTAATCCTCAATCTGAATCCCATACACACTCAAGTAATCCTCAGTCTGAATCCCCAACACACTCAAGTAATCCTAAGTCTGAATCCCCAACACACTCAAGTAATTCTCAGTCTGAATCCCCAACACTCAAGTAATCCTCAGTCTGAATCCCCAACACACTCAAGTAATCCTCAGTCTGAATCCCCAACACACTCAAGTAATTCTCAGTCTGAATCCCCAACACACTCAAGTAATTCTCAGTCTGAATCCCCAACACACTCAAGTAATTCTCAGTCTGAATCCCAAACACACTCAAGTAATCCTCAGTCTGAATCCCCAACACACTCAAGTAATTCTCAGTCTGAATCCCAAACACACTTAAGTAGTCCTCAGTCTGAATCCTAAACTCACACTCAAGTAATTCTCAGTCTGAATCCCAAACACACTCAAGTAATCCTCAATCTGAATCCTAAACACGTGCTCAAGTAATTCTCAGTGTGAATCCCCAACACACTCAAGTAATTCTCAGTCTGAATCCCCAACACACTCAAGTAATCCTCAGTCTGAATCCCCAACACACTCAAGTAATTCTCAGTCTGAATCCCCAACACACTCAAGTAATTCTCAGTGTGAATCCCAAACACACTCAAGTAGTTCTCAGTCTGAATCCCAAACACACTCAAGTAATTCTCAATCTGAATCCCAAACACACTCAAGTAATTCTCAGTGTGAATCCCAAACACACTCAAGTAATTCTCAGTCTGAATCCTAAACTCACACTCAAGTAATTCTCAGTCTGAATCCCCAACACACTCAAGTAATTCTCAGTCTGAATCCTAAACTCACACTCAAGTAATTCTCAGTCTGAATCCCCAACACACTCAAGAAATTCTCAGTCTGAATCCTAAACTCACACTCAAGTAATTCTCAGTCTGAATCCCTAACACACTCAAGTAATTCTCAGTCTGAATCCTAAACTCACACTCAAGTAAATTTTGTCAGAACACCAAACTCACACTTAAGTAGTTAAGTTACACCCAAACCACAAACTCAAGTTATGTAAAAGGTCCAGAGATCTATGTAGCTCACCTATATGGACATGTTGGTTATAAACATGGACAAAAAATCAGATCTTTTAGACTCAAATCAGTTACATCACCGAGATATTGGTTATATCACACACATTAAAGCATCGAGATATTGGTTATATCACACACATTAAAGCATTGATTGTGAAGGTAAATGAATACAATTTTTTTTAAGTTTTGAGAAATGAAATGGCTACCTTGGATCCACATCAAGGTAAACAATTGGGAGCTGATCACAAGATGAAAGAGCACAAATTACTGGGATAGTGCCCATGGTCCCCTGGTATAGCCAAATAGATAGTCTCAACAGCCGATGCTTCAAGCTGGCAACACTAGTTTGATCCTCTGCGAGACCGGTAAACTGCGGTACCCATGAGTACAGTACTCATTCTATTGCAAATTCTCCACAAATTTTCACCTTTTCTTTAGTGAGTGAGTGAGTGAGTGAGTGAGTGAGTGAGTGAGTGAGCTGGGTTTTACTCTGCTTTGAACACTATCCCTGTGTATCAACTCAATGCGGTTATCACTCTGGTCAATCACGGGGAAAATCTGTGATTCCCAGCTCATATGATGGGAGGACCATGTGTAATTAAAAGCAGAAATAAAAAGGAATCTATTTACATCTTAACAATTAATTATAGTGTCCTCAAATGAAAATACAAGTCTTAAAAAAAAGTTCCCACATTTCAAAATATTGGCAAGTCAAGCCAAGACTTAGTCAAGAGGTAATGAGAGCATTCATACAACATTTTCACACAGGTCAGACAGTAAATTAATTGTATGTGAATTATAGTACAAGATCTAGACACATATAACCTTCTTGCGTGACGTTTTTTTTCTCTCACACGAATACTAAGCTGAATAAAATGTGACCCAATTTTATTGTGACTGCTTCACACTCAACGTACACATTAGTTACAGTAGAGCTGCCTTAAAGGCCTATTGAGTTCTCTCAACTGGGTGTGCATAGGCAATCTCCTGTACAGTCTATTGATAATGTCTGACAATATCATGGGCTCTTACATCAATAGTAACCATCTGGCTATTGATATCAACGGTTTATTTCTCTGTTTACATCGACAGAAAGATTGCAAGATTTCAAAAAGGCTGTACAAAATGTAAGACATTTTCACTCTTAGGGACCAACTATTTGACATTCCGAGTAAGGCTAGATTTGTATAAAAGA